GGGGTTAACAGTGGAGTCAGAATGTCCTATGTGTTGCTGCTGAGTAAGGCCTGGGGCTTACAGGAAGGATTTAAAGAGCCACAGCAACACCACAAAGCACCAGGGGGAAGGGGGTTGCCCAGCAGGGGCCAGTGGAAGGAGGGTGAGGGGGGGAGAGGGGGAGTATGGCTGGAGTGGCTACTCTGATCAGGATCCATTTCCAGCCTGGGCCTTGGAATTCCTTTGTTCCTGTCACAGGTCTCCGTTTCCCCCTCGCCTTAATCCCAGCCTGCCTCACGCCCAGCAACACAGAGCAGGGCAGGTAACTCTGCCACAGGCATGCCTCTCTATTTACAGACCAGTCCCCACATAACAGCCACTCACATAAATAGTAATAGCTGTGGTAGCCCTGAGAAGAACCAAGGTGGGTTAATACAGGTTGTCTAGTTGGCACTACAAACGTACTAACCGTGTCTTCAGGAAAGTGCTGTGAACTGTCACAGTAGGAGGCTGAAAGGTTGACATGTATTCATTCTCCTTACAAAGGACTTCCAGCACCCAAAGGTTATACTTGTGCACTTTGTACACAGAAAGTCACGTTTTGACAGAATCGATTTGATAAACTGTTATAGCCTGGGCCTGTGGGCCTTCAAAGAGCCTGTGAGGCCAAACAAAGCTAAATCCATGACAGGGCAGTGCAAAAATTAACCATCTCCCTTTCTGTCTTGACACATCCTCCGCATTCTTCATTGGGAGGGAGATGGTCATTCGTAAACACATTCTCCAACAGTAAAGCTATCCAGCAACACTTGTGCTTTTCCCGCAATGGCTGTGGCCAGGCTGCCTTAAGCCCCCTTCATAGGGCTGCCAAGAGGAGTCAGTGGTACACTGTGCAGCACTCGCAAAGCCCTCTCCCACGGCTATTAGTGACCATTCATCTGGGGAGCCTGGGAAAATGCCTCTCCAGCCTGCCGTGGCCATGGGGAAACAGGCTGGCAGGTGTTCCCTCCCCCTAAGCCCTGGCACCTGTGCAGGGAGAGGAAGAAGGAACCAGCTCTGCCATGGGCTAAAACGGACTCTGGGTACCACTGTGCCAAGGCTCCTCCAACTCCTCTGACTGGTAGAAAGACTCTGAAACGAACCAGGCTAAACAATACCAGAGCTCTGCCTCAGATAGAGAGATCAATGTGGTTGTATCAATACTAATAGCAGGCGTAAGACATCTGGCAATGTGCTTTGGCAGTTTGAAATGGCATGTTAACTAAATCCGTGTAAAATGGGCCTCCTCCGTTTACACTCACAAATACATACACCATTATGGACTACAACATCAATATCCCCTTGAGGTAAAACAATACTAAACGACCAAGAGCAAAGGAAAATCAAGATAACACACAATCAGCAGTGTAAGTAAACAAAATCTAATCTGAAGCAAAAAAAAAAAGAAGTGTATTAGTAATGTCTGGCAAACAACCTCTTGGGCAGTCTGTACAGCATGTTGTGCCGTCAAAGGCCAAGTCTGAAATGAACAGATCTTCAGTCTAGTCGGGTTTGACCAATATTCAGAATGTTTATAATCATTGGTTTTGTTATTTTTCTGACTGCTGATAAAACAAATTAATGTAAAAACTTTGGATCTGAGGCAACTCTCTCTGTCTGTATTCACCACCCTGCAGTCTCGCTCAGTGTCCCACCTACAGCACTATCTGATTGGTTGTCATGTGCAATAGTAGAGGAAATATGTTTTTAAAGATGAAATTGAAAAGTGTGCAAAAGCATTGAATAAACATATGCTTAAAGAACTCAGATTTCTCACTTAAGTAAAAGTAGCAACCATAGTGTCAAAATACTTAAAAGTAAAAGTCTTGCATTAAAAATCTTACTTAAATAAAAGTAGAAAGATTCACATCAAAATTCAGATTCAGATTCTTCAGGCAAATACTAATTACTAATCCCAGGAGGAAATTATTTATTTCGTTACAACTCCACGAGGTACAATATAAAAATATTTTTAATAAGATAAAGATAAAATAATCAAAGTACCAAAAACGGCCCAAGGGTGCAAAGTAACTAGTAACTAAAGTTATCAAATATAGTAAAAAAGTCAAAAATGGCCTCTTCTGAGATGTAGTGGAGTAGATCGGATCAGAAAAAAACATATTGGTCGATTCCTACTTTCTTGACCTGTTTTCTGCAAAGCAGTGGCATCTTCATGAAGACAAATGTGACACTCTTGCTGTCACAGAGCACAACCACCAGCTCCCTTACTCAAATATCGTATCAAATGACAAAAATGTATTCCTCAAAGCACAGAGAACCTATTATCCACTCATTTTCGATCTGTAATTACTCTGAGAAATGTGGGTGTGTTCAACACGGTCTACCAGGGAGAATGCAAGAGGCCTCTCCCAAGCTCCCCTTCCCTGGGCTTCTAAACGTCTAGCATGTCCATTCTCCTTGTCCAGAGCCAAGATGTTTGGTGGGAAAAGTTCCCTCTGTTCATCTCTCTAAAAACATAAATAAATCACATCACTATGAGCTAATCATGAAGTCTCAAGCAGCCTGGGTAAAAAAAAAAAAAAAAAAGAAAATGAGGGGGGGGCTGGGGGTTGACAGTTGGACCTCTGCAGCTGAGATTGGAAGAAATGGCTTGGATTTATGTTGGCAGAAGAGATAGGATAAGCCTCTCTCTGACATATTCACTGGGTGCTATAAACACACACACACACACACACACAAATGCGCCCAGCACAGCATACATACATAAAAATACAATAACCCATAGAGATAACTCAGATACAAACACTTGCACTGAAGGACCTTGGAATGTTAAAAGCTGTTGATGGCTCATTTGAAGTGCCAACAGCTGAGGCTGTTACGCTGTTCTTACTGCTGTCTGTTGGCGGAAGCCCCTGTGATTTCACACTGGCACCAGCTCAAACACCAAGACCCACAATCCCCCTCCCATACCATCCCACACATAGCACCACACTCCATCCGCCTATTCTTGGCCCAGACATCAGTGTTACCCCCCGCCTGACACCTTTCTCTATAGGCAACAACATGCACGTGTTCCAGCACATATACATGTCTCACACCAGGATATCCAGCTTAATTCTGCTCTCAAATAACATAATGCTGCACACAGACACACACACAGATGTAAATAGGTCTTCTGCTGAAACAGATACAAACAAAAAAAACTGCTTCCATTCACTGCTACGGACAGTCTGAAAGTCCTGTGAGGATTAGCAGGTTAGTGTTTGACCTGCTTGCAGAATAGACGACCCCTGTACTTAATACCCACCCTGAGGTTTGCTGGGCTTCCCTCCCTAAGCCTATAGTCTGTCCTCCCCTTTTTATGGCTCCTGCCTGCCTGCTTACTTCTCACAGTCACAGTCTCCACCTTTACTGCTCTGCCGCCTCCCTCACATGGGACAATGAAAAGACCAAGAATGTCATTACACTCACTTAAGACCTTTAATAGGACTAGAGCACATGAACTGTGTAGGCCTGTTTTAGGCGTTATACCTTTTCATGTTCTGAAAGGGGAAAATTCTCCGATATGGTACGGAGTCATGTTCCACTGGTTACATTCTTTTTGGCAAAGCTGCAAGGAGCTTAATCATTTTTACATGCATATTTCACTGCTGAAATACTGATAGTCCCCTTGTTCACACAGTGGAGCGAATGTGTGCGCGAAAGTGTGTGTGTGTGTGTGTGTGTGTGTAGAGCCTCAGTCTGTGATCTCCATCATTAGAGTTGTCTGTCTCTCCTCAGTCTGTCATAGGCAATATGAGACAGGTTTTTCAGTAACTTTACACTGTCAGCCTGTTCACACCTAGCCCAAAGGGAGGATAGATCTCTCCTACACGCTGTCGCTCCTTCTGATTCTCACTGGTTCTGACGTGTATGAGCGCCTGCATTTGAGCGTGCATGTCTGCTTATGAAGACTGTATGTTCATCAAGAAAATTACACATTTTGAATGCATGTGTGTATGAAAACAATCCACACATGGACACGCAGTTTTAGTGGATAAGAAGACTTAAATTGAGGGGAATAGCGTGAGAGGCAGAGGTGCAGCCACAGAAGAAACTTTATGGGGCCGACTGCCCTGTAATCCCACTCTCACAGTCAGGCCTGCCCTGCTGAGTGAGCCCAGTTTAACTGCCCTTAACTGCTACCTGTGACAAACCTGTCTGCCTTACAACATGCAGCGGGGGTTCTTCTGCAGCTAAGCTTACAGTGCTTTAAAGGCATGTGTGTGGGTGGCTGGAGGAATGTACTGACATTGGATATATAGGGATGAATGGAAGTGGATCATAATTTATTGATTTTGCTCTCTGTGTATGTCGTTGTATGTGGATATGTGTCAACTGCTTTTGGTGTTAAAAGTACAGATAAGCACAGGTGTGCCAACACTACATTTAACAGAAGTGTAACAAACATTAGCCATTTTAATGGACTGCGGATTTTGTGCCAAGCAAAACAGTGCAACACAATATAAAAACTCCTATCAGCGCTTGACTTCAGGTCACACCCTGGGCGTAGAGAGCCACCGTGTCCTAACTAGTTATGTTGTCTTTCCTCCCACACTCGCCCTCAAAAAGGTAGCCATGGAATACTTTTTAGACTGTTTTGTAACTTGGTTCCCATCCTCATCAGAGCTCAGTGGCCCACCTCCATGCACACAGCCATATCCAAGCGGATAAATAATGGTTTTGAGTTCATTGCCAAAGTAAACCATTTTACTTATTCAAGAGCTGATGACAGACACACCTAAGACAAGGAAAGGGAAGATGTAGATGACTACATTCCAGAGGAATGAGCAACAGTGGAATCAGAACAAAATAAATACATAACACTTGTACTCATTACCAAATAACAATTTCAACTAATGCTCCAAGTAAACACATGATAAACCCAATAATGGATCATAAAGCAATAAATGACATCATAGTAAATACTGGACTACTTGGCTCTAGTGCAGTGTAATGAGAGTCACTAGATGGTGTGTTACCTTTCACAAAAAAGGCTGAAGCAGGTGCCAGCTCCTTCTTCTGTTTGGGCTGTCTTTTAACGTGGAGGGACTCTGTGTACTGCTTAACCCTCTGGTCCACAGCATCTCGAACCAGGGCTGTAACTTCCTACAAACAGTATGCAGATATTTCAGTACAGCAACACGCTGATGAACTGCAGAGAGGGCTAAAGTTTTTGATGATCAAGTAAAAGGACAGGAAGGCAACTCCACAAGTGGCTAGGTGGAGGGATGAGAACAGTTTTGTAACAATGAAAACCCCTAAGAAGAATAGACAGAAGGCTCAAAGTCATTTCACATTCCACGCTGCTGTCTTTTGAAAAGGCCCCAAGCAGAACAGAAGCCATATATTCACTCACACACTTTTTCACACCCACGCCCTTCTCCCTGTGTCTGTACCTCGATGTGGTCTGTAGTAAACCAGCTGGCGTCCTCTTGGCCGCCCAGGGGCAGAATGTGGAGATCCACCAGCACAGCAAAGTTCCCACACTGTAACACAAAGAGGAAGGACAGCCACAGGTTGCTGAGGGGCATTGAACTCACAGACAACAAAGGAAATCAGAGTGTGGGTGATTGACAGCGAGACAAACCACGATGACCCCCTGTGTCCTCAAACATCACCCCAGGCCTCTCACAGCAGTCCTCCTCCCTCCTGTTTCTCTGTCTAGCCATCTCTTTACAAAAAGGTATGGCCCTGTCTGTCTCCTCAAGTTTCTCTTATCTCAGCATAAAAACTATTTTCTCCTTCTATAAACTTTGCAGCGCAGTTACTGCCTCAGTCTAAAGACATACCACATAAATGAGGATTATCCTACTTTGTATCAGAGTGGTGATAAAACTGCAGATCTACCCTAAAGCGCTACATGTTTCTGCACTATAACTTTTGAGTGCTGTAGAAAGCTGAGTAGAGGGCTGCAGAGCAGATTCCTAAAGCACTACGTCATTGTGTCAATGACAATAAGCTACAAGGGACAGGGAGGCCAGAAATGCCGCGGCTGGTTAAGTTGCTGTTACATCTTTCTCAGGCTAGCCTGATTATGGTTTACACATGAGTGCAAAAGCTGCCCACTGCAGAGAGCAAATGGATGTGGGTCTCGTGTGAACTTCGCCTCTCCCTGGACAAGGAAGTAATGGATGGACTGAGACCACCAAAAACAGACTCAATCAGAATCTCAGAAAACCACTTTAGTGGATTCATCCTGCTGTCTCTCTCCCATTAAGGAACCGCACTCCTATACTGCTCGTTTGGTTCCAGGATATTGATCAAGGCCTCATTATAGAGCTTGCATTAAGCTCGGTGCTAATTTTACACCAGGTACCTTAGAAGACTTGATCTGGTCAAAAAGCATTGAACTGAGTGGGGTAACAATAACACATAAAGACAAAACCAGGCACAGATTTCAGGCTCACTGTGTAGAACTGGAAAAGAGTGCAAACAAACAGAAGAGGTTATTCATTTAGTAACTGGGAATACTTATGCACACTAAAATCTTTGTTTTGAGCCAGGCTTGTCTCCCTGGGCTGAAGTATTGCAGACAGAATGACTAAATTCTACAACCCAGACTTGAGGGATGTTCCTACGGCCTCGCTCTCAGGACGACGCGAGAGAAATTAGCAGGGTGTGCAGGGGAAGGCCCCCCAACTTAGGTCCTAATTCTAGACACAAGCCTACACTTCCCAACTCCAAACTCTCTCCAGTTGTCTCCTCCTCTTGTTTAAAAAGAAGTTAGCTCCTTCGTCAAAAAAAGGAGGTTAAGAGAGTTTTATTCACTGTCAAAGTTGGGCCGGGAACCTTTTACGAAGTGACATTAAAAGGCTGAATACTGTCTTTGAGCAAATCAAGCTGCAAAAAATTCTCCTTTTCCCCCATGAGAGCTTTCTCGTTGATTTTCTGAAAATAATAAGTGAAGTGAGACTGCTTCTTTATTTTTACTTGCAGATCAACTGGAGAAAAGGGCGCCACCATATTACTAATCAGTGAAGGTTGTAATCACTTTCAGTCATAGCTTGCACTGTTCTTCTGCAGAACACCCTAAATCCCTAATGTGTGCCAACTTGTACCTAAGAATGTGTGTTGCCAAATCAAATGGGAAATAAATGTTATTTTAAGTCTCTTGTAAAGGCAACACATTAATCTTTGATCCACTGACTCATCACTCCATATCCTGAAATATGTGAGAACACCACATAAAAGTAGCAAGCACCGAGATGTGATAACCACAAATAGAAAAATTCTCTATACAAACTGTGCAGAAATATGAACAAAAGTTGTTATACAAAAACATGCTTTCACAAAGACAAGAATGCCATGGACCAGAACAGAGCCCCCCCTTGTATGCAAGCTCCTCATGTATAAAATGTGTGCACGTTGCCTGTCAGTATCAACTCATCCCTACAGATCAGTATTCTCTCCATCCTCTGCCCTTTGTCTCACAGCGGTCCACGGATGACTGGTGGCCTCAGCTGACTGCCTCCAACAATTACCAGTGTGTGGGAAAGCCTAGCAACAGAGGGTCAGACCTTGTCAATCAAATACCAGGGACGGACTAGTGGATGAGCCCCACAGTGGTTTCTCGGGGCTGTGCTTGACACACGCTGGATGGGTTTTGGTATCCTGACTTTAGTGTCTGACTTTTGAGAGATGACAGATGGGTAGGGGAACTATGTTACAACACAATAAATCCTGTGAAACTTAAAATGTTAAATTTTTGTTGACAGTGTGTCATTGTTGAGGTCAACCTGCATGTGTGTAAATCCTGACGGGGACCACAAGATCAGTCTTCTAAGGTACCTGGTGTAAAATTACACGAGCTAATGCAAGCTCTAAAGAGTGACTTGATCAATATCCTGGAACAAACAGAGCAGTATAGGGAGTGCGGTCCTTATGGAGAGAGACAGCAGGATGAATCCACTAAAGTGGTTTTCTGAGATTCTGATTGAGTCTGTGTTTTGGGCTGAAAGCCAGACATCTAGCCAGCCTTAGACTAGCCTTTTATCACATTAGAGCAGCAGACAAGACTCAACTAGGAACTGGACATAATGATAAACACTGCCCCTTACACAAAAACAGCATGTGATTCCCTGGGTTTCTCAGAAATTGGGGGATTTTGTCAGGAATGCAAACTAATGCAATCACACTAATAAGAAAACAATTAATTTGCCTAGAGAAACTGGCGGTTTGTTGGAGGCAAAGTTCCCGCTGAAGTGTCAATCTTTGAGTCGAGGCTGTGCTGTGTTTAGGTGCTATCGGAGTTTTTACAAAGGACATTTGTGTTGAGTGTGGCACATAAGACAAAAAAGCAGCAGAATCTAATTTTACACAAAGGCTCTGACTACAATCACATCATGTGGTCTAAATTTGTCAACTCCCAGCACAAAGAGTGACCTGTGGATCTCTGAGCTGAACTCTGTCATGAACTATGACCTCTACGTATCCCCCCTTAAAGCCCAGCTATGGCCCCTCTTTTGTAAGATCTCTGCAAGCAGCCTAATACTTTGTGGATGCAGTAATACAGACCACAAAAACCTCGTCTTAAGCCAGCTAAGCTGAAAGTACCTGAAATCCTTTATGCCCCAAAAAAACAAAAAACAAGATTCAAAACAGTCCTCTCAGCAAAACACATACAGCATTATTTATAATCTCTCTACAGAATCCTAAGCAGGACCCTACATGATTTAATTTACCTGATATTCATTTATCAAATTCATGAGCTATCCTATTTTGTGTACTTTGCTTTGACACATTTAAGGCAATACCCTGAGCAACTGTCGCTGTTGTTGAAAAAGAAAGGTTTGATAAAGGGCCAAGTTCTAGAGGAAGTTACTCTTTTCATACATACTAAAGTGGGCCAGTACGGCTTTGTTCTCTGTCTTGCACAGGCTTTTTAGAGTTCTGAACAGAGGCTGAAGGCTGAATGAGAGGCGGCAAGGAGCGCTACTTAATACCAAATCCTTTATTGTGCCATCTTTTGTGTGCTGTCACACAGTGAATGAATGGGACCGAGTCTTCCTGCAGGCTAAGCTCAACTTCTCTATCCTAATTCTCCGCACTGCCAATCTGATATCCATGACCTGCGGGGGAAAAAAGGGTTAACAAAGACAAAAACATTAGAAACATTTGAGACCGAAGCTGCTTTACATAGTCCACAGCACAACATGAGAAAATTCCTTCATATTTTCTGTCTGTAAATAAACAAATCCTGATTCACTGACAGCTCCTTTCCCTTTCTAGTGTTCAGGGCTCTGGTCTATATCACTCTCAGTTCCCAAAACACTCTCTACCTTCCCTTATCTCTCTCCCAGACCCGGCTCTCCATCCTCCCGCCTGTGTTGCTCCAAGTTGGGCACAGGGCCCAAACTCTTGGAGCAGCTTCACCCGCCTCCCCACCTCGCTGCCCTTTGCCATTGCTATCGCGCCGTATAAGAACCAGACCTTCTCGGACTGCACTTAGCTTAGAGGCTAACACTAACCAGCCACAGATGTTTACATTGGGAGTGAAGGGGCAGCAGATGCGGTCTCACTCAATAAAACTTGCATCTCTCCCACTCTCCCTTTGTGTCTCTCTTTTCCTGACTTTCTCTCTCTTTCTGCAAGTCTGCAAAGAACCCAGGGGAGCTCTTTAGATCTGTGGGTGTGACAACCTTGCTCTCAGACTTTATTTGCCTTATTCCCAGCTCTTTCTGTGCTGTGAGTCACCTGGGTTTCCCCTTAAAAAAAAAAAAGAAGACAATTCTCTTTTCCAATTGTTCAAACTGCCAGATACTGAGCAGCGAAGCTTGAGACCTGATTATTATTGACGCGAATGTTATTTACAGATAGTGCGCAGAAGTGTTTTGTGTGCAAAGCTCCCTTCATTCAGGTGAATGTTAGCACACCTGAGTCCTCTTTATTTGATGATAAAAAGAGACACAACCCAAGAGTGGAATTCCAGCGGCAAGAACAGACAGGAATATCTCCAGGTAACACTCAGCAAACAAGACTCAGGCAGACACATCCTTGAGAAATTGGTAGATGGAGAGAAATAGCAGGCAGAGCAGTGTTCGACCTCATTAGGAAATGTGAATTATGTACGGCAATGTAGGGCAGTGCTGAGATGAAAGCACTTTCTTTTTTACCCATGTCACCTTACCTTGTGAAAGATTCCCTAAGTTGGAAAGTGTCAAAATGTTTCTAATCAGACCGCAATGATTTTGTACAGAGGCACGATGTGTGGTCTGATATGAGCTCATCTACACAGTGACAACAACACTAAACAGCACATAAACCTCTGACATTAAACTGCTCTGTGATACCTCAATCTTTTATTCTCCAAAAACTCTGTCTCAACCCACTACATTAGATGGTTAGAAAGTCAGCAGTGCATATTGCTAATAGAAGGCAGATTGCAGAGCTCCGCAGTGGTAATGTCCTGGCAGACAGCAAGAGCTTCAGTGGATCAGTGTTTTAGCCTGCAGGCCCTTTTCGGGAGGTCTGAGAAGTGGCAGGTCACTATATAGTCTAAGCCTATTTAAGAAGGAGCATACCAGCACCTCCTGCAGTTCCACAGACCAGGGAGGGGGCTGCTTTGAAAACATCTTAGGAGAAAGAATCATAAAACACACTGCTAAACAGCCTACTAAACATGGCATGTTGAATCCAAGAACATAACTCATAATTGCTTCAATAATCCTTGCACTCTGCGCAAGCTGGCAAACAGAATTTGCAACACGCTCTTTATGAAAACAATGCCTCTGTTTGGGTAACTGTTCTTTAATATTCTTAGAAGTTAATTAATTCATTAAGAAACAGGGTGGTAACGGCGTTTGTTTTGCGAAAGAGGAGCCCTGGGTAGCGCCTTGAATGCTATTGTTTGGACTGATCCCTTCTAACATACTTGTTTGTGGGTAGTTGGTTAAGCATGGTAGAGGCTGTGTGCATTTTCTCAGGCAGAGTAACACAACAGGATCATTATGTGCCCAGTGGGAAGGAACCTTCCATGAACCTCCAGGGTTTTACTCTCCCACAACCAGCTGAGGGGGGTGATGGGGTAGCCTGTACGCAGGAATGCATATGAAACAAATAAAGGGAGTGAATGCAATATCTGGTCAACCAGGCACACATGGCATTACGGAGGATGTGAGAGATCAGCGCAAATGTCTGCAGCCCTCGTCCAAAACTCTCAATAAATGAAACATCAACAAAAGAGAGACCGGTGGCTTTTCTTGCACTTAACAAAAACATCTGATGTGCATTATTCCTGACAGAGCATCAGACTGAGGATGAACAGCTTGGCTTTTTGGTAGAATGAGTTTCCTCTGCTCTGTACGGCTGCGTCCATTAACAAAAGGCTCTCGGGGAGGCAGTCCGTTGAGATTCGCAAGAAGGTGACCAGAACCTCTGAATAACGAGTCCTAAGGAATGAATAACAACATCAGAATGTGGAGGCGAGAGAGCTCAAACGTGTATCTGTACTTCCCCCTAGTGGCCAAAGAATTTGTTCTTGAGAAGTAAAAAACTATGACTATAGCGAAGCCAACAGAGAGGACGTTTTGAAACAGAATATTAATACTGTAAATGTTGCATAGCAAGCGAGCATATATTCCTGTTTGCATATTTTCCACACTGAACAGCTTTCCAGTGGTTTAACATAGACCATAATAACTCTTGCTGGAAGTAGTGTCTGTAGCAGTTCTACTGTTTGGCAATAACACAAACATAGTTGTTTATCATGAACGCTGACAAAAGCTGTAACCGAATGCAGATTTGTGTTATTCTTTAGTATCTCGTGTGCATTTTATGTGAGGAAACATTTTTAAAGTAATTATGGGGATTTGTGGTCACCCAAAAGCTCATTTGCTTAGAAACAAGAGATTTTTCCAACATGCACGTTCACAAGATACTAAACTAAACTTAACCTTTTACTTGTTTACATGAGTTCTTGCCAAACTGGACACACAAAACTTGCAATAAATAGGTTATAAGCTCTAACCTACCAGTCACATGGACACAGCATTGAATAAAGTTTGCTGAGGAAGGTTATGAGCAAATACAAAAACATAATTGTCATACATAACTTGTACAGAACACTTTAAAACAGACATATACATGTTGAGTTAAACACAACAATTAATAATATATGTTGGACTTTTATACGCAATTTCCTCCATGTATGGTTGTTCTCAGCTTTATTCAAAAGATCACAACGTAAAACCCTAAAGTTTCAATAGCTGTGGAGTTGCACATAAATATTAAACATTTAAATATAACACGGATACTGCTAATAATGCTAGATTCAGCAAATTCAGCTCTGCGTTTCCAGGTGTCTGTATACTGTATATTTAATTTCTCACTCACCTTAATGACAAATTTGATTGGAGCCATCTCAGTGAGTTTCACCTGAAACAAGTGTATAGTCCTGGATTACACAATGATCATACAGCGTAGATAACGTTAATAATAACACTGCCAGGCTTAGTTTACTAAGATAACAACACTAGCAGTCTTATCTGATACTATTATAAAAACTATTACTTATTTATATCACTCTAATTCACCTACCTAAGTTGTGCACACTGTCTATATTCTCATATCCATCTACCTCGTACATAAAGAAACTTGAACATAAAATATTTATGTCAGCATCCTGTGCACTAATTGTCTACAAATGTTAGGGTTTGTTTATATACATGTATAACTACATATTAGTCTATTTTGTTGAACTTATTGTTGTTTATTTAGGCTTTTAAAACCTCGCCAGTAAAGTGATCTGACTGTGATTACCTTAGGTTTGTTTTTAGTTACACAATATTGATTTATTTTACTGCAGTAATGTTACTGACACTGGTTAATTAACGTTATCAATATATATATATATATATATATATATATATATATATATATATATATCGACTTTCCTTTACTCTTAAT